CTCACTATACCAGTCACTATATCATAGGCTCAACTAAATATACATGTTAAATATCTGTATAAATTTATCTATAATTTGTGGACATAGTTTATACTAGTTTTTAGCTAAACTAGTATTACGCCTACACTAAATAAATTACAACTTTCCTATTTTAAATAATAAATTTTAGTTAAATATATCGATACAATATGCCATACGTTTTAAGATTTAGTTTAAATTTAATTAATTATTATATTTATTAAATGTAAATTGTAGCTTACTTAATATTGACAAAAAATTTAATTAAGAAGTTGTAATTGTAAGTGTAAGATTATTTAATAAGTTTTCTTATATACATGATTCTACTACAAAAGTTTTAGAGAAGCTTATAATTGGTAAGAGATTGAACAGGTTAGTTATGTTTTGATTAGTTGACAAAACTGCAATTCTTGCAAACATGTAATGTCTAAGAATTACTCACATATTAGTGAACATTGATTAAAATTAGATTTGAAATACTAATTAGTTTCTACAATATCTTTATTGTAATTATAGTAATATTATGTCAAAGATCACGACATCGGGACGAGAGAAGGTTTGATGACGAGAGGAATGGTATGCATCAACAGTTTGTAACAAATATTAGATTAACCATATTTTAATATAAATTACATTAACTTGAATATGTTATTCAATATTAAAAGTAATGAAAATAATATGCTAAAATGTTAATCTGGTGGCGGTTATTGTGGTTTGCAATGGTTTAACTCTTGATAAAATATTTTAATATTAAATATCTCTCAATTTAATACTAAAATTTAATAAATATCACAGAATTTGGTTGATTTATTAATCACTTACTTGAAGAATTGGATTGAAAACCAAAAATTATGACACTTATCATCAAAAATTCACAAATGAATTATACTTCGAATTATACTTCATTTCAATTAACCAAATGCAAAATAACACCAAACTAAATAAAAACTAATTAATTGGTAAGCATTTAAACAAATTTAATTACAAATTTAAGAAATAAAATATGGTGAAGGATTTGGTGATGGAGTAAATTATATAATCAAATATGAGATAAATTTCTCAATATTTAAAAGAGTTAATTATAATTGTGTGACAAACCCAAGGATTAGAGACACCGGGAAATGTTCAAAACCCACCGGTTGTTGAGACCTCGTATTTCGACAGTTCGGGTAATAATCAACAGGTGATTAATAACCCACAAAGATTTGATTGGACTTCCAGAAGGAGAGGTAAATTAGGGCCAAATGGAAAAGCATTTATAATTACATTTCTGATTACATAATTTGATAAATTAGTTTCACAAACAAATAGTGGTCGCGATTCACAGCAATTGCCTTCATATGAGCGAACAGTATATCGACGAACCGATACAACCAGAAGTCCCGACTCTAGGGTTACAACAAATGGCACGTCATTTCGCCGTCGATATGAATCACTTTATAACACAAGTGATGACTCGTACAGACCTTCGAGACATTCAATCTCATCATCCATTGATGCACTTCTAGGAAATCAGTCAACTCCTGACTATAGGGGCGGCAGTTATACATATCAAACCCGTCGATACAACACTAGTGTTGGAACCAGTCGTACGGGTTCTGTAAATGGACAGTCATTTCAGACACCCATACTATGGCAGAACAGGACGTGGCACTGGTCTACCAACAGGACCCGCGATTATGATCCAGATTTAGACGGAACAACAGTTGTGCCGCCCCTTCAACCCCTTCAACCCTATCATCCCGATAAACATGAAGAATGGGACGGAACTGAATTAATTAGATACCCAACCGATGACCGCCACCCATTGGGTAGACATCATAGCATATGATAGCATATAACCAAATAATTGATTTCATTGTTTATTATTTCTTATATAATTACATAATAAGAACTTTAAGTTAGAAAAATTAATAAAATAATTACTCTAATGGTTAGCTATCTATGGTTCGGGACGTTGTGATGAATTACAGGCCTGTTATCCGGCGACAGGAAATCTGTTGATAGGAAGGGAAGAGAAGTTAATGTCTTCGTCGACATGTGGTCTGCAAAAGATGGACAGGTATTGCATTGTAAGTCATCTCAAAGAGAAGAAGAAATGTTTTTATTGTGATTCGAGACCACAAAACAAAAACAATGCGCGTCTTTATCACGGCATCGAAAACATCGTACAGAGGTTTGTGTCAATACTTCTACAATTTTACATATAACTAGATTACCATTAGATAACATTAGATAACCATTAGATATAACCATGTTTGGTGCAGTTTATTCTTAACCTACGTACCTTTTAAAAATAAATTATATCAGAATTAGGATAATCATGTGACAGTTTTCTCATTTGTGAAAACATATAACTCGACACGCATATCATGATTTCATACATGAGGTGAGTCTGAATTGAGTGCAGAATGTCCATAGAATTTAGTGTTGCCAGCTCGAAAATTTTCAATAGTGGATATTTACTCTGAAACGTTTAAACAACTTACACACATCGATGCTATACGTTACCCACAATTCGGATTTACGTTAAAATTTCTCATAAAAATATCAAATTATATTTAATGCACATTTAGGTATATCATTCAATATAATTGACAATATAATAGTTACAAAAACATCCCGGTGCTCAACAGACAGATGCTAGAATAAAATGTTATGTTAAAAAATCTTGATCTCTTAGTTAAGAACATTATTTTAAACTTATACTGTATATTGCAGAAACAGTATTGCATATATTTTGGCTATTTTGGATAATTAACTAATGTGATTGGTAATTTCGGACGTATTGGGTGTATAATGATATGATTGTGATGACAGGATTGGTCGTAAGCGTAAGCAAACGTGGTGGCAGGCAGAGAACGGCGCCGAACATGTGTCCATTGGCTTTGATTTGGAGGCTGAGTTCCACTTCACTCATCTCATCATTACATTCAAGACATTTCGTCCGTCAGCTATGCTTATCGAGAGATCGCATGATTTCGGTCGCACGTGGAATATCTACCAATACTTTGCGTACGATTGTGTGGACTCTTTCCCAGGAGTTCCAGTGGGTCCGCGACAGAAGATAAGTGATGTGGTCTGCGATTCGCACTATTCTGGTGTCGAGCCTTCAACTGAAGGGGAAGTCATATTCCGAGTGCTTCCGCCAAATATCCGAATTGACGACCCGTACAGTCCGGAAGTGCAAAACCTCTTAAAGATGACTAATTTAAGAATCAATTTCACAAAATTACATAATTTAGGCGACAATTTGCTTGACTCAAGAGATGAGATTAAAGAGAAATATTACTATTCTATCTATGATATGGTTGTGAGAGGCAGTTGTTCTTGTTATGGACACGCGAGCAGATGTATTGCAGACCCCGGACAGGAAACCATACCTGATATGGTGTACGGACGGTGTGAATGCACTCATCACACCAAAGGTCTTAATTGTGAACAGTGCGAGGACTTCCACCACGATGTCCCCTGGAAACCAGCCATTGGACGACAAACTAATGCTTGCAAAAGTAAGTTCTAATAAGTCTAATAATTCTAATAAGTTTTCCATTCATCTCTATAAAAGTGTACAGTACATTATAATTTAAAATTATAATGTACACTTTTATAGAGATGAATGGAAAACACAAACTTAAGAGAGATTAGTATAATAATTGTTAATTATATTGAATAGTTTGTAACTGCAATAGTCATGCAAAGCGGTGCCACTTTGATCCGGCTGTCTATGAGGCGACCGGTAAAGTAAGTGGTGGTGTTTGTGACGATTGCCAGCACAACACAATGGGTCGCAACTGTGAACAATGCAAACCGTACTTCTATCGAGATCCGGGTCGGCGTATTGAAGACCATAATGTCTGTCAGCGTAAGTATTGGTTTAATTAACAGTCTATTATTATGGCTTGAAATAGTAAATCATGTATTGATGTATTCATGTGATTGACAGCATGTGATTGTGATCCCCGCGGATCTCTTGATGACGCTCTGTGTGATGAACACACGGATATTGGGTCGAGTCTGGAGGCCGGCAAATGTCACTGCAAGCGCAATGTTGAGGGCAGGCGTTGCGACAAATGTCTGCCTGGATTCTGGAATTTCATTGAGTCTAACCCCGATGGATGTGAACGTATGCTTTCACACTATACTTGCATAAAATTAATTAATTTCAATATAATTTCAATATGATGATAACTAAATACTTGATTCATATTTTAAAGCGTGTACTTGCAATCAATTGGGAACAGTAGGCAATCTTGGTTGTAATGTTCACACTGGGGAATGTGTTTGCAAGCGTAATGTTGTCGGACGAGATTGTAATCAATGTGCTGTTAGTATATTTTTATTATCGTATTAAGATGCTGTAAATGAGTGATGATTATATAATTATGTAAATATATCAATACTTGTATAAATAGCCCGAATATTATGGACTAAGTGCTGATGAAGAGGGTTGTAAAGCATGTGATTGTGATGTTGGCGGTGCGTATGACAACGCATGTGATGTGACCAGCGGTCAGTGCAAATGCAGGTCTCACGTCACTGGCAGACGTTGCGATACACCCGACCAAAACTTTTTTGCTCCATATGTTGATTATGTGATATATGAAGCAGAAGTTTCCAAAGGGTCGGCTGACACTCAGATTACTCCTCGAGAGCCACACGGAGATAGAATGGTTACGTGGACTGGACTCGGATTTATAAGAGCATATCCCGGCACTAGACTTGAGTTTGATGTGACAGATATACCCGAAACTATGGATTATGATATAGTCGTCAGATATGAACCACAATTGGCGGGCGTATGGGAAGGAGTGAAAGTTGTTATAGACAGCCCATATCCTGTAGATCCTCGTGGATATTGTAACAGATCATTGACTCAGCAAAACACCAGAATTGTATCGCTGGCCGCAACCGATCGATATGTTGTCGTCAATAATGTTTGTCTCGAAAGAGGCAAACAATATAAGATTAGACTTGAAATTAATGATTACGACAGCAATATAGACAGAGACAGTGCATCGATACTAATTGATTCGGTTTGTGTTCAACCATTCAAGTGTTAAATCAATTAATTAATTGAAATTGAAATGTACATTGAAATCCATAGGTAGTTATAATTCCCCGAATGGAAAACATACCGTTTTTTAAAGGCAATCAAATCAATGAGTTTAAAAGACAAGAGTTTGAACGCTTTCGTTGCGGTTCATCATATTATTCAGTGACCAGACTTGCAGAGCCCCCAGAGATATGTCGCAAATACTTATATAGCGTTGGTTTCTATGTGTTTGGCGGCGCCTATGGTCTGTCCGTTTTTATACATTTCATATATTTTGCTGTATTTGGGAATTCATTTACAATATATAATCAACAAAATAGGTTGTAATTGTGATCCAATCGGTTCTGTAAGCCTTGTATGCAACACATTGGGCGGTCAGTGCCAGTGCAGACCTAATGTCTTTGGACGGCATTGTGATCAATGCAGACCTGGATTTTATGGATTCAGTCCAGACGGTTGCAAAGGTATGTCATTGAAAATGAAGTACTTTATAACATATTTGAATGAATTGAAAACAATGATACTTTGATAGCTTGCGATTGTCATAGCGTTGGGTCACTGGACAACTTTTGTGACACACAGTCGGGTCAATGCAAATGCCGTTCGGGAACATACGGTCGTCAGTGTGACGAATGCCAACCCGGGTATTGGAATTACCCGAACTGTGAACGATGTGATTGCAACGGACACACAGACTTGTGTGACTCCAAAACTGGAGTTTGCATTAACTGCAGAGACTTTACTACTGGTCACCGATGCGAGCGATGCGAACGCGGATATTACGGAAACCCACTCATCTTAAACGAGGTGTCCATCCCATGCAGAGCCTGTCCCTGTCCGGGCATCTCAGGCAGTGGTATGAGTCACGCCGAGTCCTGTCAACTGGAGCCCCGTTCCCAGAATGTCATCTGTCATTGTCTCAGTGGCTATAGTGGCGAACGATGCGACACATGTGATAATAATTACTTTGGAGAGCCGGCAATTCCTGGCGGCCAATGCCGTCAGTGCGAGTGCAGCAATAATATAGATATCGCTCAACCCGGCAATTGTGACTCCAGAACCGGTGAATGCCTGAGATGTCTGTACAACACGGCTGGAGCGCATTGTCAACATTGCAAACCAGGTTTCTGGGGTGAGGCAGCTCTCCAACAGTGCATTGAATGCGTATGCAATCCATTGGGAACTGATGTCAATTCTGTCACATGTGATCACTTGACCGGTCAGTGTCCGTGTCTTCCCAATGTTTTGGGCAAATCATGTGACAGATGTGCTGTCAATCATTGGAAGATTGCCAGTGGAGAGGGGTGTGAGGCCTGTGACTGCGACCCTCAGGGCTCATATACTCTGAAATGCAATGAATTTGATGGTCAGTGTCATTGTCGACCCGGACATGGAGGTCGCAAATGCAACGAATGTCAGCCTAACTTTTGGGGCGATCCTAGAGTTCAATGCTATCGTATGTATTCTAAACGAGTTTAATATGGATTCATATAAATGACGGTTAATTTAATTATCTGACACATAGATTGTGAGTGCAATCCTTCTGGTTCTGCGACTCTTCAATGTTTGCGAAACAACGGGTCGTGTGTATGCATTGACGGCATATCAGGGCCGCGATGTGACAGATGTGCGCGCGGTTTCACCGGTAAAGCGCCTCATTGTGATCCCTGTGGCGAGTGCTTTGACAACTGGGACCTAACCATTACCACTCTAAAAGACCATACGCTCCGATTGTTGGACTCTGCGAGACGTATCAAACAAACCGGTACTACCGGTGCCTACACTACAGAGTTTACAAACATTGACAACAGTCTCACTGAAATCGAGTCAATACTTTCGGGTCAAAACATAACAGAGGCTGACATCACAACCATTGAGGAAATGATAGAACAGTTGCGACGAAATCTGACGGAAACACAAACTATTTTAACGGGTTTTGAGAGTCAAATGGAAGGCATTAACAAAAGGATATTAGCGGCAAATCTAGCGCTAAATGACTTGAGACGCAAATCACAAGACTTGCAGTTCTCTGCGGACGCTCTGCGAGAGAATGCAACCAAATTACAAGAGGCCAACGTTGAGGGCGCCTTCAATATCACCAGAGATGCCCAAAGGAGATCCCGAGCCAGTGAGCAGCGCATCAGAGAGACTATGCCTACACTCTATGAGTCGGAACGTAAACGACGGCAAACAGAGCGACTCTTGGATCAAGTGTCCAGTCGTTACAACGCATCCATTGGTGATAACGAACAATCACTGAACGATATATCGAGAAAGATATCCTTATTGGAAGACAAGATTCCCAATATCAATGAAATGGTATGCGATGGACGCGGAACTGTCTCTACATGCGATTCTTTATGTGGAGGCGCGGGTTGTGGTAAATGCGGAGGTTTGAGTTGCACTAAAGGCGCCACAACTAAAGCAGACAATGCTCTCGAGTTGGCCACGAAAGCAGACGGTGTGCTTAAAGACAAAGAAAAGAGTGCCAGAAATGAATTGAATGGTATATTAGAAGCACGACATAAGTCGGAGGAAGCTTTGAGAGAAGCAAAGGCTGCTTATGACAGAGCTATTGGAGCCAAGAATACATCGGTTGAGACCACTCTAGAAGTGCAACAACTTCTCGATTCTATTGAAACATTTCTTGGAGAAGAAGCCTCTCGTCCCGCAGAAATACGAACTATGGCTGAAGAGTGTCTCGCACTGGAGATCTCGCTCAGACCCGAACAAATTCAAGACTTAGCCAAACAGATCAATGAAACCATTGCTGGACTCACAGATATCACTAAGATATTGATGGAAACCGCAGGAGATTTAGCAAATGCTAATAGACTTAAGGAAAGAGCTGACAGAGCGAAGTGAGTTTCACTCCTTTCAACATTCTTTTAGTACTCCTTTTAAAACAATGAATTGATTGTATGACCGAATAGACAACGAGCGGATGGAATCCTTGGTCAGGCAGAAGAAGTACAGAATGCACTTAAAGAGGCTCTGGACGCTCAAAGGAAGGCAGAGACAGCCATTGCCAAAGCTAATGGCGACATCAATAGTGCCACAGGAGATTTGGCTCAAGTATTTAACCATAACGTCAATGTGTTGTTGTTATACACAATCAATTGTCATTAATATAACTATAGATCGAAAGTGAGACTCAATCGGCAGCACTGAATGCAGAAAAGGCCGGTTCGGGAATCAGTGATCTTCAGAAACGATTGGACGAATTGAAAAAGAAGTTTGCTTTGAATGAGTTGGAAATGAGAAAAGCAGACAACGAGGCAAACATAGCGGCTAAGAATGCTGAAGAAGCGGGTCAGGTATGGAGTGTTGGCATTGTTTGTGTTGCCATTCATTGCTAATGAATACATGTATTTGACTTTTGAATGAATAGGCGGCACAAGAGTTGGAACAGAGGTTTAATGAGGCGTCGCGTAAGTTGGAAGATAAGGCCCGCGCCAGCGGTGCTGTCAAAGAAAGGGCTGAGAACTTGAGAGAAAGGGCCAAAAAATTGGCTGAAAATGCAAACGAAAAGCTCGGAATACTTCAAGGTTTGAATGACTAACTCATGAGATGTGATACGATATGATGTAATCATTATATGAATATTGCTTTATAGAAATGGAAGACGGATTCCATGAGAATGAAAAACGTCTGAATGAATCCCAGAAAACAATCGATGAATTAAATAAATCAATGGGTCTTCACTTGATTTACATCGAAGAAAAATCAACGTTTTATCGTAACTGTCAGGGATAGGCCACAGCCATCAGCCGACAGTCCAATCACTCATCACTTAATCAATGGATGTATAGTTTATTACATAAACTTAGTCTAACTGTTATTAAAGAAACCACTCTTAATGTCTTTTATATTAAAACATTATTTTCCATTACTTATTAGAAATAAGTGCCAAAACACTAATTAATTGATCTTTTATATAAATAAACAAATTAATGACCACTTCTTATGATAAGAATCTCATAACAAATGTACTCAAAGTCTGATTTAAATGTAATAAAATTATAATTTTTTAAATGCTTTTTATTGCATGTTTGGATCAATTATTATTACTTTAATAAACACAATACAAAATAATCATTATTTTACATATGGTTTGTTAACAGTTCTTATAGATAGCGGTCGTGATCTCATTAGTCGTCTTAATGAGGATTTTTCTATTCAAAAAACAAAGCATTCAATCATCACATATACGGATCATAAGAGCAGTTCATAAGAAGTTAGCGTTAGTTTGCATTACCTTTTGTCCGATTCAATGCTTACAATAGGATTACTTGAATCCAACTTCTGAGCCAACGATGCAATCGTGGCAACAGTTCCGCTACTCTTCTCACTCGCATCACCACATGCTATAAGAGATGATCATTACCTCAGAGTCGTGTCATTGAGACCTACTATACCTGTCAGACATAAGCCATTGTTATCGACGCAAAGAAAGCCACAAACTTTGTCACTATTAAGACTGCAACCAATCAACCCATTAATCAATAGTCATATCAACTCATTATCAGTCACTTACGCCTCACCGCAGATCTCTTTCAGCTCTTTCTCCATCGATGAAGAGTCCACACAACACAAGACAATACTTATTATACACTAACAATAATTATACTTCAATAATAATATGACAGTTATGAACGCAACTGTTATACAAATAGACAATACTTTGTCAATACTGTACTGTTGTGTAAGAAATCAACAATAAAACTATAAATATTAATACCGTACAGTATATGTATTGCATTTATAACTTGGTCATAGTATTTATTTATCATACTATGAATAACACTAATTACTATTGTATTGCAATCATCCGATCTTTATGAAACTTGGTTTCTGATGCTTAGGAATGTTAACCTAAATTATAAAATTAATTTCACTATCCTAGCTACACTAGAAATATCCAAAGACAAACATATATCAGTTATACCAATATAACTTGGTCATAGTTTATTATTCATGGCAGCTATATTGTACTGAGCAGTCATCACTCAATGATAATTTATTTTTCATTGATAAATTTACAATGATTGCAATACAATAGTAATTAGTGTTATTCATAGTATGATAAATAAATACTATGACCAAGTTATAAATGCAATTAAAGGTATATTTACAATATTATAACCGCCAAAATTGAAATTTGTACCAGAATTTGTTAAACTTAATTAGCTAATTTTAATTATGTACAAGGGCCATTGGCAAAAATTTTTGCGATTTATTTTATTATTGTATTATGCTGAATGTAATGGTATAGTTTAAATCAATTAAATCAAATTTCTACAAAAAAGGGACCCAACTTAGTTAATTCTAATTAATAATTATAATTATTATCTGGATAAAAACATTTGCAAATTATTCAAAAATATAAATCACGTATTAATAGTTCGTTGGGTTTTATACCATGTCCATTGATATACTTTACTTTATACTTATCTCAATTACTGTACATTTATTTTACTTTATTTAAAAAATATGTCGGTGATATTTACCCTAATCTTTTAAGCCATATTTTTAATGTGTTAATTATTTTATAATTTTTTTGGTTTAATTTTTATAATTTTATAATTTTTTTTTTGATTTTTAAAATGCAATTGAAATTTAAACATGAACATTTTGATAAATTATATAACCATTGATTTGACTGATATTTAACTTATAATAAGATTAAATAATAATAATAGAAATTAAAGTATGAAATTAGATAAAATATTTTAATTAAAGTATTGATAATTATTAATATAAGAGAATTCAATGTAATGTAACAAATCACCGACATATTAATAATTATACAAAAACATCTCGATTAATTAAACAATAATTTTTAAATACATTAAATTACAGTTTATAACAATAACTCAATTAATTTATATTTAATTTAAATAACAATTATAATTATTACTTCACAATGGGAACTGTACATTATAACTATGTAAATATTAGTTATATTTAATACATTTAATTAATTATAAATTTGGACGACATCAAAATTGCGATATTGTCTAGCTCTATTTTAATAAAAATAATGACTGTTTGTTATTAATTTTGATCATTATATAACTTAAATTATGTGATAATTATTGATAATTTAAACCAAATGTAATTTTCAATTAAACCAATTAAACAATAAATATTTTAAAATATAGTTAACTTGACTAATTTATTGCAATAGTTTACAATGTTAAAATAAAATGCCTGTAATTTAAACTCTTATATAAAATACTACACTTAATTAATGTTTTAAACAAGAACATTCTATGTAATTTACACGTCAAAAAGTCATAGAAAAATAAGTTCTCTTTAGACTTAATTGTTTTTTAAATT